TTCTACTTCTACTTCTACTTCTACTTCTACTTCTACTTCTACTTCTACTTCAACTTCACTACTACTACTACTACTACTACTACTACTACTACTACTACTACTACTACGACTACTACTACGACGACTACTACGACTACTACTACTGCTACTGCTACTACTACCACCACTACTACTACTCCTGCTGCTGCTACTACTACTACTACGACGACGACGACGACTACTACTACTACTATTACACCTTCTACTTCTACCACCGCCACCACAACCTATCATTGCGACTACTACTCGTGTTATGCCACTGTATACTACTCCCGCTGCTATTACTACTACGTCTCGTGATATAAATAGTAACTACGACAAGTACTACTGCCACTGTTACCTCCTGCTGCCAATTACTGCACAACAACCAACACAGCCAACGGTTGAAAGGCTGTTGCAGCAGCTGCAGTCGCAGTACACCAGCAGCAGTAGCAGCGGCCATAGCAGCCGTAGAAGCACTAGTAGTGTACTAGCTGCAGCAGACTCGGCAGTATTGACAAAAGTGTGGGGCCGGCTCTGGGTGCTAGGCCGCCTAAACTCCAGGACTGCAGCTCATTTTCAAGCAATCCTGAGCCACGGGAGTCCGTGTGATCCACCTTAGCCATTGCAGGGTCTCCTGTCTTTACATCTTTCAGCAGCTCTTGGCTACCTGACATGCCACAATCAGGGCACCACATCCCAAACACTGCATCGGCAGGCATAGCAGCGGGCGGCTACCCGACCTGGGTCAACTGAAAGCACTGCAGCCATGTTGGGATGCCACGATGACTGCCTGAATCCGAGGTTGATGCGGCCATCGCAAACTGTACGCAAGGCTCGGGGTCACGGAGCCCATCAGACTACCATCTACCCCTTGCAACTTTATCCCTCGGCAACGGATACCTGTGCTCTCCGGCCTCATGGAACCCTCCGACAAACCTGGCGGGATATCCCCACGGACACGAGCGAGGATATCTGCGGTCTTAGAGTCTTCAGAGATGACGGTGCCAAACAGTCTGTTGGACCATACCAATTTCCTCTCTCAACTGCTGACCTCTTCGTGCCAAACAACATGTGGTCATGTGGCTCTGCACTGTCGCCACAGAGCCTCCCACCCACAGCGTAGCTCATGCCGGCACTGGCATCAGGATTGAGCAGAAGCCAATGACAGCAAGAAAGCTGCTGTCGTCTGCGGGAACCCGCAAGAGCCGGAGGAGAACAATGACTGCTGATTATTATCTGCGTTGCTATGGTCATTAAAACTGTTGTCGCTGGCAGCCTTCTCGGAATGGCTGAACTGAGACTTTTCAGCCGCTGTCAATGCCTTCAGTCGACTTTTTAAATCAGGGACCATCTTAGACAGATACATCTAGCTAAAAATCGAAATTCTACACAACCATCCAGTGTGGGAATGGGCAGGTTGGACGGGACGACGGCAAGAGTGGATGCACCAAGGATTCTGAAGCCGTCGGAGGGTGCGGCCCAAGTCCATGGCTCACGCAGCCCTGGTCTTGACCTGACAGAGCTCTGCAAAAGAACAGACAAACCAGATCTTCTCATGACCTCAAACTAGAGCCGCCGGGGGGAATGTAGCTCAAACCGCTGTGGCCTGCCACCAGCCGTGCACAAGTCCCGACACAGGGTGCATGTTATTCACGGACGTTGAGAGTCAGCTGAACGAGGCACTTAGGCTGGGTGACGCCTCAATGGTTTTACGCGAGTTTATTGAGAAGGGGCTTGCAGTAAACATGTGCGGAGTCTAAGTACTACAGCAGGCAATGACAGAGAACATGGCAAATCTGAATATCCCGGACTACACGCTGCGAAGCTGTACAGCCTGTGTCGCCCCGACCCTGGCTGCAATGTTGCGCTGACGCAGCCTTCACTAGCCGCCATGCACCTCAGCCTAGGAGCTTTGTGAGACATCCGGGTTACGCTATGCATGGCGCAACTCTCACTAGCTGCACTGTTGTGTGCACTGGTGTGATTGACGAGACCAAATACTCGTCCGCAGCTGTGTTTGGCGCAGAAGAAGACACTTCAGAAAAGTCGTCGTGACTAAGTTTAAGTGTCACCAAGTCTTGCCCAGATGGCTGTCCTACAATGAAACCTGACTGGTTGCTTGCCCGGCCTCGGCATGAGAGCCAAGAGATGCAAGAGGTGCACATGGCAAACTTCATGCTACATCAGTCTCAGTGCATGTTCCGTCGCTGTACTTGCAACGACGGGCACGAGGGAGGGCGGGGCTCAGACACGGCAGTCCG